CTCTCTCCCCCTTCTCCCTCGCTCTCCCCCTCTCTCCCCCTTCTCCCTCGCTCTCCCCCTCTCCCTCTCTCTCCCCCTCTCCCCCTCTCCCCCTCTCCCCCCCCGTCGTCCACCCCTCTCCCCCTCTCCCCCCCTCTCCCTTGCGCACCCCCTCATCCCCCCTCTCTCTCTCTCTCTTTCGCTCCTCTCTGCCAAGATCCCGTCCGCTCCCTCCCTCCCTCTCTCTTCATCTCATAGGACTTTCTCTCTCTCTCTGTCTGTCTGTCTGTCTATCTGTCTGTCCTGTCTGTCTAATCTATCTAAGCTAAATCTAATCTATCTAATCTAATTAGCTATTCAAATCTATTATCGATTCTATCTATTCATCTATTCAAAAATCGATTAACCTATTCAAATCTAATTATCTATCGATCTATTCTAACTACTTATCCTATCTTATCTATCTATCCTATCCTATCCTACTTATCTATCTCATCCTAATCCTATCTATCCTATCTTAGCTTATCTTATCTATCTATCTCTCTATCTCTTCTCTCTGTGTCTCTCTGTGTCTCTCTGTGTCTCTCTGTGTCTCTCTGTGTCTCTCTGTGTCTCTCTGTGTCTCTCTGTGTCTCTCTGTGTCTCTCTGTGTCTCTCTGTGTCTCTCTGTGTCTCTCTGTGTCTGTCTGTGTCTCTCTGTGTCTCTCTGTGTCTCTCTGTCTCTCTCTCTCTCTCTCGCTGTCTCTCTGTCTCTCTGTCTCTCTGTCTCTCTGTCTCTCTGTCTCTCTCTCTCTCTCTCTCTCCCACTCTCCCCCTTCATAGATCTGGATATAATCATTCGTCATAATTATTCGTGGGTCAACTAATGTTTCAACCAATTTCCGCTAGGCGTATTTGAGAGGCACTATCTCTCCTGTTCTTCAGAAATGTCGGTTCCAGTAACAATGGAATCCACGTAGATGGTGTTGCCAACATGCCTCAAAAATTGCAGTGAAAGGAGCACTCACACAGAAACTATCAACATCTTGAAATATCTTGAATATGCCAGAATAGTGAAAGAATTTCAAAGGCGGAATCTGAGCATATCTGAGCCGTGGTGCAACATTTGCAAGTGCTCGGGCACAGAGCCCCCTGAAACGAAAGGACCAATCCACCGGTAGACACGAACAGGGCATTGCATTTCTGTGTCGGGAAGCTGCTTGGCCAATGGTAGCAATAGGCCCGTCGTTCGTGGAGCCGCCATCTGCCACACGTCTTTGTTGAGCAGGGAGGCACCACAGCGACACTCTTCACCCACCAAACCAAACAGATCCAATCCAGCACCGATGCAAAATTCAAAGCAAAGCTCTGGTGTCATGTCGTGGTTCGTTTGCAAACGGTAGAACCTCATTGAACCAGACGCTTGCCTAGTTTGATCTATTCTGTCAAGAACATCTAGCTGTGTAGCGCACAAGACAAACCCTTTGTAGCTTTGAACTGATTTTTGGATACCTCTTTCGGCTCAGTTGCCCCTCCACTCACAAGCCCATGGTTTCTGTCAAGGATCGGCAAACCGCTTCGACATGCAGCGCTGTCATCGGTCCAGTCTCGGCATTTGAAGTCCGCTGCCTCTTCTGTTTCACCAGTGACGTCGCCGTCGCCTGCAAGCGACAGGTTGAGAAAGTGGCAGGTCACCTTTGGGGATTCTCAGATGATATCAAAAAAAATGAAACATTTTGAAATCTTAGATACCGCATATTTTTATATGTGGGTTCCATGAAATTTCATGACAACCTGTGTCCAGGTATGTCCTGGGAAAGCAATGCTGTGATTTTTGAGGCTTCCCTGCATCCAAATCCAGCCTAGTGGAAAGCAGCCGACCAACTCAAACTCACTGTCCCGGCTTTCTCCAAATTCTGAGTTGCCACCTTGGGACCAGGCCCTGCATACAACAGCTGGAGAGAACCCAAGAAAGGGGTGAAACTGTCTCCAGTTTGAACTGAGACGGGGCATTCGCTGCACTCATCAATGCCAAAAAGAATTCAAAAGTGGGCACAGCACACCAAAGACTAAAGATACAACAGCGCGAAAACACGGACCAAAACGTGTC